AAGTTTGGTATGTTAATAATCACTATGAGCCGATATCTATATGACTTGCGAGCCAAGTTGTATCCACCAAAATAACTACCCCCCAAGACGCCAATATGGACACAGTATATCTCAAGTATATCTGGACCGCACACACACCCAACACCCCAACACCTACCACTGTGTACATAAAATTAATTTTCCATATTGTGTTGCGCTCCTATTAATAAGAATCTCTCTATATACCACTGGTCCCTTAATAGCACCCAAAATTAATAATGTATGATCAAATAGTCTAATTAACAAAAAAATATGTATAAAAAATATGAAAAAGCACATGTGTATACAATTACTCAAAAAATCTTAATATAATAATCACTTATATGAACAATAACTAAATGTGAATACTAGTACACTCTTCAAAAGTACATGATGTTGTAACATAAACGTGATAACAAATCAATAATACACCATGATTAGTGAAAAAAAGAAGAAAAAAATATAAAAAAATATATGTGATAAAAAATATATATATATAATATCAAAAAAATATATATATGTGTACTACAAATTAATAAATGTGTAAAAAATATATATAATAATGTCCTTATAATACAGTGACTCTGTGCTTGATTTAATCTTGAATCGGTGACTTTTTGTGAATCCGTGACTGTATATGAATCCGTGACTCTTTGTGAATCCTCTAATTAGTGCAGATGTATGCTCACCTCCTTATCTGCCTGCAATTAGGCTATATGCGCTTGTGGTTCACCTCCTATGGAACCTGCTTAGATGAGATTTCTCCTTTATAGATTATGGAATGCGGATATCCTTTACCATTGATTAACCCTTCCGGGATTAATCACTCCTTACGAAAATTCCAATCCCCTTATGCTCTCCTCTCCATGCGTTTCTCCATATGTGGGGACAAATTACCAAACATAGTGTTTTATCCTTTTTAAAAATTTCTGCTTTATTGCTTCCAAATGGTTCACTCACATTTGCTGTTTTCAATATAAGGCAATTTGTATGTAACGAGTCCTCCGCCGACCGTTGAGTCATGCACCCGCCGTCTGTCAAACAATCCGGCTTTCTCCGGCTTTCTTTTTCTTTTTTTTGATATTATATATATATATATTTTTTATCACATATATTTTTTATATATTTTTTCTTCTTTTTTTCACTAATCATGGTGTATTATTGATTTGTTATCACGTTTATGTTACAACATCATGTACTTTTGAAGAGTGTACTAGTATTCACATTTAGTTATTTTTCATATAAGTGATTATTATATTAAGATTTTTTGAGTAATTGTATACACATGTGCTTTTTCATATTTTTTATACATATTTTTTTGTTAATTAGACTATTTGATCATACATTATTAATTTTGGGTGCTATTAAGGGACCAGTGGTATAGAAGAGATTCTTATTAATAGGAGCGCAACACAATATGGAAAATTAATTTTATGTACACAGTGGTAGTTGTGTGTTGGGTGTGTGCGATCCAGATATACTTGAGATATACTGTGTCCATATTGGCGTCTTGGGGGGGGTAGTTATTTGGTGGATACAACTTGGCTCGCAAGTCATATAGATATCGGCTCAAGGTAATTGACACTGTTGATAATGGGTGTTAGAGTTCCTGACAATCTCATATCATTGTTCTGAATGAACAATTGTAACATTTCTTGGGAGCTTTACTTAATCAATAAGGTTTTTTGGGAAGAGCATTCTCAAGGTATATGATTGTCTTTATTTGTTATATTTCTCAACGTCAGGTATCTAGATGCTGTGTTTTCACAATGAACATTTTTGGCTTTTGTTCAACACTAGCAGGTTGTTTCAGGTCATGGCTGTGTGACTTCATTGTGTTCCTAAATAGGTCATTTATTTTCAGTCAACAATTGTGGTTGAACAGGATGTACTTTTGTCTTTTTCAGCCAGACTAACTATGTAACTATGTAAGTATGTTACTGTTCAATATGTGTTATTTCTTCTATGTAGTATTTTATTAGGTTGAATGGTTTATTAGAGTATAGTTTTAATTAACAAAAAAAGGTAAGTAAAGCAAATAAAAAAGCAGTGTTAGGGAAATTCCTTCCAGCATGCAGAAATGTTCACTGATATGAATCTTAGGGAAAGGAGGCACAGGTCCACTTTAATGTTTCAAACTGTTTTTTGTTAATAAAATCCTCCTATGGAGTTTGTGTTTATATACACTGTATATATATATAGTGCAAAAGTTTTAAGCAGGTGTGAAGACATGCTGTAAAGTAAGAATGCTTTCAAAAATATAGTGAGTGAATGGAAGAAACATCTAAATCAAATCAAAATTTGGTATGACTACCCTTTAGCTTCAAACCAGTATCAATTTTTACACTTGTATGCTTACTTTCTTACTTCCCTTTGACATTGAAATATTTCCAGCAGTGCCACCAGCACAGAACTAGGGGAAACCAGTGGGTCCCAGGTACACCCATCTACTGTATAGAGAAGTCTGGCTGGAAGTGGTCTTCATGGAAGAATTGTGGCCAGAAATCCAAACCTCTGACATGGAAACAAGGCTAAGGCTGGCCATATATTATACAATGTTCTTGAGAATTTTGCTTTAGATTTACCAAAAACCATATAATATGAGGTCAAGCCTAAACAACACTTTCAATTGTATCCAACTAGGCAGGCCCTTGCACTACATAGTTGAAGGTAAATCTAAAGGAAATTGAGCAGAAATTGAACAGAAAATTGTATAATGTATGGCCAGCCCAAGTGACTCTACTATGCATGAAAACATAGGAACTGGGGTACAGAAAAGTGGCAGGTGCTCTGGACTGATGAGTCAAAATCTAAAATATTTAGTAGCTGTTCAAGAAGGCAAGTTTGTTCATCAGAGGGCTGAAGAGCGGAACAATAATGAGTGTCTGCAGCCAACAATGGTGGAGGTTCCTTGCAAGTTTGGAGCTGCATTTGTGCAAATGGAGTTGGAGATTTTGTCAGAATGAATGGTGTCCTCAATGCTGAGAAATACAGGCAGATACTTATCCATCATGCCATACCATCAGGGAGGCGTGTAATTGCCCCAGATTTATTCTGCATCAATGACCCTAAACATACAGCCAATGTCAATAAGAACTATCTTCAGCGTAATTGTCAGGAATGGACTGGCCAGCAATGGTGGGACTCACCTGCCTTTTGATCTGCAGTACCAGGGCTGGCCAGCGGGTGCTCCCAGCAATCAGAGACTCAACCTTTCAGCCAGCTAACACCTGGAACTGATGATACTGGTGTATTTAAGGGATGGCCAGACTTGCAGACTCTGCCTTGGTGTTGTGTTTGTCCTGGGCCCTGTATCTGTCCTGCATCTGTTTCTGTTCCTTTGCTACCTGTTCTGATCCCTGGCTTGTGACCCTGACCATCCCTCTGCCTGACCCTCTGTACTACGCTGCTTGCTACCTGTTCTGATCCCTGGCTTGTGACCCTGACCATCCCTCTGCCTGACCCTCTGTACTACGCTGCTTGCTACCTGCTGAACCTGGCCTGTGACCCCGACCATTCTCCGCTTGCTCCCCCTGTACCTACCTGCCCAATTGATATTGACTCGGCCTGCCTGACGACGCTTTCTTGTATGTACTGTTATCTGTGGGTGGTTGGTTGGGTTTGTTTGCACTGTATTATGTTTAGTATTGCACTGCGTTTATGTTTGTATTGTTAGTGTTAATAAATTACATTGTTAATCACATATCTGAAGTCTGCGTTTCCCTGCTTCAGTCACACACACCTCTGGTCATACCTGGGAGCCCTGACATTACACCAAGGCCAATCCTGACCAGAAGTGGCTGCACAGGGAAGCCATCTTGGCTTGTTGATGGGAAGGATGGATCTGGATGAGGTTGCGTATTTATATCTGCTAGTGTTTGATGACAGGGAGTATGCTTATCAAACTCTGAAGGAGTATACCCGGGATGAACTGCTAGAATGTATACGGCTCGCTCATGTTCTAGTAGATCAGGGCACAGAGTTCTCTGAGGTGTGCAGCCTTTGATTGAGGTTTGTGCAGAGTTGGTTTCATCTGGTACCCCCGAATGCAGGGATGAATTTTTGCCACCATTTAGTGCAGACCAGGTAGAGTCCCTGGTGTGGTTATTAGAGGATGATGTGGGTTACTTTCTGGAGCGTTATTCCACATGTTCACCACAGACACTAAGAGATTGTATAAACGCAGTGCAGTCATTGACCAGACAGGCTTTGTGTAAGCTCAGCTTTGTTCAACCCATACTGCAGACATGGACAGACTTGTTGCACCCAGCCTCAGTCAGCTTACAAAAACCCAGTCCTGCTTCTAACTCTACTCCTGTATTCCCAACAGCTCCTCCAGTTACAGCCCAGTATACTTGGCTATCTACCGCATGTCAGTACCCTGTTCCCACTCGCTGCACCTATCCTGCCTTTAACCCTGTAAAAAAGCCCTCTGTAGCAACTGCTCCCTCTCCTGTTCCATCCTCCTCCAGTTCTTCTCTGTCTCCAGCTGCTCCATTCGTTTGCAGACCTGCGTTTACTTGCAGTGCTCCAGTAGTTAAAACCAGAAAAAAGCGAAAATTCTTTCCAACCAATACCATCCTGCCAGTATCCAAACCGGTGAGCCTGCCTTCCGTGGTTCAGCCTGAAGCCTCTACTCAGCCTGAAGCCTCTACTCAGCCTGATGCCTCTACTCAGCCTGATGCCTGTACTCGGCCTGATGCCTGTACGCAGCCTGATGCCTCTCTTCAGCCTGATGCCGGTACGCAGCCTGATGCCTCTCTTCAGCCTGATGCCTGTATGCAGCCTGATGCCTCTCTTCAGCCTGAAGCCTCTACTCGGCCTGATGCCTCTACTCGGCCTGATGCCTCTACTCGGCCTGAAGCCTCTACTCGGCCTGAAGCCTCTACTCGGCCTGAAGCCTCTACTCAGCTGGACGCCGGCATTCAGCCTGATGCCTCTACCCAGCATGATGAACTGATCCAGCCTGACGATCCTATTAGGCCAGTTGACTCGATGCCCGCTGTTGATCCAGATGATCCGGTACCTGATCCGGTGCCCGCTGTCGTGCCAATTGACTCAGAGCCCGCTGTCGTACCTGGTGACTCGGTGCCCACTGCCTTGCCAGATGACGCGGTGCCCGCTGGCGAGCCAAACGACCTGATGCCTGGTGACCCAGTGCCCGCTGTCATACCTGGTGACCCGATGCCCGCTATCGAGCCAGACGATCCAATGCCTGGTGACCCGGTGCCCACTGCCTTGCCAGATGACGCGGTGCCCGCTGGCAAGCCAAATGACCTGATGCCTGGTGACCCAGTGCCCGCTGTCATACCTGGTGACCCGATGCCTGCTGTCGAGCCAGACAATCCGGTACCTGATGACCCGGTGCCCACTGTCGTGCCTGTTGACTCGGAGAGCCCACTGCCTTGCCAGATGACGCGGTGCCCGCTGTCGAGCCAAATGACCTGATGCCTGGTGACCCGATGCCCGCTGTCCAGCCAGACGATTCAATGTCTGCCCCAGTGCCCGCGGTCATGCCAGTTGACTCGGAACCCACTGCCTTGCCAGATGACGCGGTGCTCGCTGTCAAGCCAAATGACTTGATGCCTGGTGACCCGATGCCCGCTGTCCAGTCAGACGATCCAATGTCTGACCCAGTGCCCGCGGTCATACCAGTTGACTCGGAGCCCACTGCCTTGCCAGATGACGCGGTGCCCGCGGTCGAGCCAAATGACCTGATGCCTGGTGACCCGATGCCCGCTGTCCGGTCAGACGATCCAATGTCTGACCCAGTGCCCGCGGTCATACCAGTTGACTCGGAGCCCACTGCCTTGCCAGATGACGCGGTGCCCACTGTCGAGCCAAATGACCTGATGCCTGGTGACCCGATGCCCGTTGTGCAGCCAGACGATCCAATGTCTGACCTAGTGCCAGCGGTCATGCCAGTTGACTCGGAGCCCACTGTCGTGCCTGGTGACTCGGTGCCCGCTGCTCCGCCTGGGGGCCCGAGACCTGTCGCTCCGCCTGGGGGTCCAGCGCCCGCCGCTCCACCTGGGGGTCCGGCGCCCGCCGCCCCGCCTGGGGGCCCGAGACCTGTCGCTCCGCCTGAGGGCCCGAGACCTGTCGCACCGCCTGGGGGTCCGGCGCCCGCCGCTCCGCCTGAGGGCCCGAGACCTGTCGCTCCACCTGGGGGTCCGGCGCCCGCCGCTCCGCCTGAGGGCCCGAGACCTGTCGCTCCACCTGGGGGTCCGGCGCCCGCCGCTCCGCCTGAGGGCCCGAGACCTGTCGCTCCACCCGGGGGTCCGGCGCCCGCCGCTCCGCCTGAGGGCCCGAGACCTGTAGTTCCGCCCGGGGGTCCGGCGCCCGCCGCTCCACCTGGGGGCCCAATGCCTGTCGCCCCGCCTGGGGGCCCGATGCCTGTCGCCCCGCCTGGGGGCCCGATGCCTGTCGCCCCGCCTGGGGGTCCAGCGCCCGCCGCTCCGCCTGAGGGCACGAGACCTGTCGCTCCACCCGGGGGTCCGGCGCCCGCCGCTCCGCCTGAGGGCCCGAGGCCTGTAGTTCCGCCTGGGGGTCCGGCGCCCGCCGCCCCGCCTGGGGGCCCGATGCCTGTCGCCCCGCCTGGGGGTCCGATGCCTGTCGCCCCGCCTGGGGGTCCGATGCCTGTCGCCCCGCCTGGGGGCCCGAGGCCTGTCGCTCCATCTGGGGGTCCGGCACCCGCCGCTCCGCCTGGGGGCCCGATGCCTGTCGCCCCGCCTGGGGGCCCGATGCCTGTCGCCCGCCCGGGGGCCCGATGCCTGTCGCCCCGCCCGGGGGCCCGATGCCTGTCGCCCCGCCCGGGGGCCCGAGGCCTGTCACCCCCCGCCCGGGGGCCCAAGGCCTGTCGCCCCGCCCGGGGGCCCGGTGCCTGCCGCTCCGCCCGGGGCCCGGTGCCTGCCGCTTCGCCTGGTAGCCCGATGTGCCTCTGCCCGGAGTCCTGTCCGATGTGCCTCTGCCCGGAGTCCTGCCCGATGTGCCTCTGCCCGGAGTCCAGCCAGATGTGCCTCTGCCCGGTGTGCCTCTGCCCGGAGTCCAGCCCGATGTGCCTCTGCCCGGAGTCCAGCCCGATGTGCCTCTGCCCGGAGTCCAGCCCGATGTGCCTCTGCCCGGAGTCCAGCCCGATGTGCCTCTGCCCGGAGTCCAGCCCGATGTGCCTCTGCCCGGAGTCCAGCCCGATGTGCCTCTGCCCGGAGTCCAGCCCGATGTGCCTCTGCCCAGTGTGGCTCTGCCCGGTGTGCCTCTGCCCAGTGTGGCTCTGCCCGGTGTGCCTCTGCCCGGAGTCCAGCCCGATGTGCCTCTGCCCGGAGTCCAGCCCGATGTGCCTCTGCCCGGTGTACCGCTGCCCGGAGTCCTGCCCGGTGTGCCAGTCTTTGATATCCCGCCAGTTACCAGAACCCGGGCGGTGGAACATTTTTCCCAGCTAGGACTGTTTGGAGCGTCCTGAGGCCGCTCCTTGAGGGGGGGGTACTGTCAGGAATGGACTGGCCAGCAATGGTGGGACTCACCTGCCTTTTGATCTGCAGTACCAGGGCTGGCCAGCGGGTGCTCCCAGCAATCAGAGACTCAACCTTTCAGCCAGCTAACACCTGGAACTGATGATACTGGTGTATTTAAGGGATGGCCAGACTTGCAGACTCTGCCTTGGTGTTGTGTTTGTCCTGGGCCCTGTATCTGTCCTGCATCCTGTTTCTGTTCCTTTGCTACCTGTTCTGATCCCTGGCTTGTGACCCTGACCATCCCTCTGCCTGACCCTCTGTACTACGCTGCTTGCTACCTGTTCTGATCCCTGGCTTGTGACCCTGACCATCCCTCTGCCTGACCCTCTGTACTACGCTGCTTGCTACCTGCTGAACCTGGCCTGTGACCCCGACCATTCTCCGCTTGCTCCCCCTGTACCTACCTGCCCAATTGATATTGACTCGGCCTGCCTGACGACGCTTTCTTGTATGTACTGTTATCTGTGGGTGGTTGGTTGGGTTTGTTTGCACTGTATTATGTTTAGTATTGCACTGCGTTTATGTTTGTATTGTTAGTGTTAATAAATTACATTGTTAATCACATATCTGAAGTCTGCGTTTCCCTGCGTCAGTCACACACCTCTGGTCATACCTGGGAGCCCTGACAGTAATGAAGAACAAGGAGTCCTGGAAGTAATAGTTTGGCCTTCACAGAGCCCTCATCTCAACATGATTGGGTCTGTTTGGGATTACATGAAGAGTCAGAAGAATATGGGGCAGTCTATATCCATGGAAGATTTGTGATTAGTTCTCCAAGATGTTTGGAACAACATACCTGCCAAGTTCCTTCAAAAACTGCGTGCAAGTGTACCTAGACTAATTGATGCCGTTTCAAAGGCAAAGGGTGGTCACAAATATATTGATTTGATTTGGATTTCTCTTCTGTTTATTAACTTTCCATTTCGTTATTTGATAAAAAATAACCTATTAACACTTCTTTTTTCTGACAGCATTTTTAACCCCTTCACGCCTAAGGGTAAAACAAACCTTAAAGCCTAAGTAAAATTTTGCAACTTATGTTACTAAAAATGTACATATCATCACAACTACTTTGTACATCCAGGTGGATTATACCTTGTTTTTTTCAGGACAAATTGGGATTTCATTTGGTGGTAAATGGTAATGGATATCTCCTGTTTTTTTTATTTTTTTAATTATCAAAATAAAACCTTTTTTTAAATTTAGCTGTGTGTTTCATGTTACTACCATAAACTACCACCAAAGAACAACTCAAAATAAATTTTTCCAGCTCTTGACGATCGCAGCGATACCACATATGTGTATGTTATTTGTTGTTTGTACCTGTACTACAGCCCAGAAACAATAGTGCACATTTTTTGTATGTTTTTTTTTTTACCTAAAACAAACTGACACTGATACCAATTAAAAAAAAAAAAAAAATCCTGACCTTTGACCTTGACCCAAACACTAACCCTGGCACTGAACTAGATCAAACCTTGATCTAGGTATGTTTTCTTTATTTTATAAAAATATATATATATTTATCTTTTTTTTTACGAACAGTTGATTTTTTTTTCTCTCTGCAAGGAGAGAGAGATACAATGTATCTCTCCTCCATTCAGGGAGAAAAAAAAACCAAGGGGAGCGGGCTTCACAGTGACGGATCACTGTGATAACCAATCAGAGGCTATCACAGCGATCATGTGAACCAGAATCGGGAGTCCCGGGTACCGATTGTTAGAACTGGACTTGGGGCTCAGTGACAACCCAGTCTTTGTGCTGTGAGCGAGCTGTGTGGCACGCTCCCAGCACAAAGACAGGTACGTAAATATGCAGCCCCACAGAAAAAAGCTCAGTTCTGTGAGGCCACATATTTGTGTGATGTCGGCTTAAAGCTTTTGCACAGTACTGTATATATATATATATATATATTTATATATATATATATATATATATATATATACATACATACACTGTATACATATATTATTTTTTTTTTAATTGTTATCAGTGCAAAACATTTTTCACCAGGTTACACAGCAAGTCACCCACAGCTGAGTGTGTGGGGAGGCCCTTTATTTAAAAAAAAAGCTTTTCAATGATTAAATTATGTGGGGTTCTCCTTACAAATGAAACTTGACCCTTATTCAGGTATGCAGCCTTGGTGGCCAGGAAAAGGGAGGAAAGTCTCCAGAAGCCCCCATTGGCAGCCTGACCTTCCACTGTATGTTGTAGCTTCTCTTCTGTAGAGGAGAGCAGAGCTGTGGTTAGTGGACAGGAAAGGTAGGAGAGCTCTGTACTGGACAGGGAGGATAAAAGAGCTCTATTGTGGAAGAAGGGGACAGATTTCTTTTTGGGAGAAATCTGGGGGAAGAGTTCTGTACTAGGAGGGGTATATACTGGACATTCAATCCTGAACCCTGCACTCTGTACACAACGTACACTTGAGCTCTGCACTCTGTACTTATCGCACTCCTGTACTCTGCACTCTGTACACAGCGCCCTCCTGAACCCTGCACTCTGTGCATAGTGCACTCCTCAACCCTGAACTCTGTACATTGCACACTCCTGGACTTTGCAATCTATGCATAGCACACTCCTGAACTCTGCATTCTGTATGTAGTACACTCCTGAACTCTGCACTCTGTATGTAGTGCACACCTGAACCCTGCACTCTGTACGTAGCCCAATGCCGAACCCTGCACTCTGTACACAGCATACTCCCGAACTCTGCACTCTTTACACAGCACAATCCTGAACCCTGCACTTGGTGTGTAGCACAATTCTTAACCCTGCATTATGTGTGTGTAGTTCACGTCTGAACTTTGAACTCTGCGCATAGCGCACTCATGAACCTTGCACTCTGTACACAGTGTACTCCTGAACCCTGCACTCTGTACAACGTGCACTCCTGAACTCTGCATAGCATACTCCTAAACTCTGCACTCTACATAGCACACTCCTAAACT